AGGGCCCACCAGGTGCTGCTGCTGCTGCCAGTGTTGCACCCCTGGAGGGTCCACCAGGTGCTGCTGCTGCTGCCAGTGTTGCACCCCTGGAGGGTCCACCAGGTGCTGCTGCCAGTGTTGCACCCCTGGAGGGTCCACCAGGTGCTGCTGCTGCTGCCAGTGTTGCACCCCTGGGGGTCCACCAGAGGTGCTGCTGCCAGTGTTGCACCCCTGGAGGGTCCACCAGGTGCTGCTGCTGCTGCCAGTGTTGCACCCCTGGAGGGTCCACCAGGTGCTGCTGCTGCTACAGTGTTGCACCCCTGGAGGGTCCACCAGGTGCTGCTGCCAGTGTTGCACCCCTGGGGGTCCACCAGTGGTGCTGCTGCCAGTGTTGCACCCCTGGAAGGTCTACCAGGTGCTGCTGCCAGTGTTGCACCCCTGGAGGGTCCACCAGGTGCTGCTGCTGCTGCCAGTGTTGCACCCCTGGAGGGTCCACCAGGTGCTGCTGCCAGTGTTGCACCCCTGGAGGGCCCACCAGGTGCTGCTGCTGCTACCAGTGTTGCACCCCTGGAGGGTCCACCAGGTGCTGCTGCTGCTACCAGTGTTGCACCCCTGGAGGGCCCACCAGGTGCTGCTGCTGCCAGTGTTGCACCCCTGGAGGGTCCACCAGGTGCTGCTGCCAGTGTTGCACCCCTGGAGGGCCCACCAGGTGCTGCTGCTGCTGCCAGTGTTGCACCCCTGGAGGGTCCACCAGGTGCTGCTGTTGCTGCCAGTGTTGCACCCCTGGAGGGCCCACCAGGTGCTGCTGCTGCTACCAGTGTTGCACCCCTGGAGGGTCCACCAGGTGCTGCTGCTGCTGCCAGTGTTGCACCCCTGGAGGGTCCACCAGGTGCTGCTGCTGCTGCCAGTGTTGCACCCCTGGAGGGTCCACCAGGTGCTGCTGCTGCTGCCAGTGTTGCACCCCTGGAGGGTCCACCAGGTGCTGCTGCCAGTGTTGCACCCCTGGAGGGTCCACCAGGTGCTGCTGCTGCTGCCAGTGTTGCACCCCTGGAGGGTCCACCAGGTGCTGCTGCTGCTGCCAGTGTTGCACCCCTGGAGGGTCCACCAGGTGCTGCTGCTGCTGCCAGTGTTGCACCCCTGGAGGGTCCACCAGGTGCTGCTGCCAGTGTTGCACCCCTGGAGGGTCCACCAGGTGCTGCTGCCAGTGTTGCACCCCTGGAGGGTCCACCAGGTGCTACTGCTGCCAGTGTTGCACCCCTGGAGGGTCCACCAGGTGGTGCTGCCAGTGTTGCACCCCTGGGGGTCCACCAGGTGCTGCTGCTGCCAGTGTTGCACCCCTGGAGGGCCCACCAGGTGCTGCTGCCAGTGTTGCACCCCTGGAGGGTCCACCAGGTGCTGCTGCTGCCAGTGTTGCACCCCTGGAGGGCCCACCAGGTGCTGCTGCCAGTGTTGCACCCCTGGAGGGTCCACCAGGTGCTGCTGCCAGTGTTGCACCCCTGGAGGGTCCACCAGGTGCTGCTGCCAGTGTTGCACCCCTGGAGGGCCCACCAGTTGCTGCTGCTGCCAGTGTTGCACCCCTGGAGGGTCCACCAGGTGCTGCTGCCAGTGTTGCACCCCTGGAGGGTCCACCAGGTGCTGCTGCCAGTGTTGCACCCCTGGAGAGGTCCACCAGGTGCTGCTGCCAGTGTTACACCCCTGGAGGGCCCACCAGGTGCTGCTGCCAGTGTTGCACCCCTGGAGAGGTCCACCAGGTGCTGCTGCCAGTGTTACACCCCTGGAGGGTCCACCAGGTGCTGCTGCTGCCAGTGTTGCACCCCTGGAGGGTCCACCAGGTGCTGCTGCCAGTGTTGCACCCCTGGAGGGCCCACCAGGTGCTGCTGCTGCCAGTGTTGCACCCCTGGAGGGTCCACCAGGTGCTGCTGCCAGTGTTGCACCCCTGGAGGGCCCACCAGGTGCTGCTGCTGCCAGTGTTGCACCCCTGGAGGGTCCACCAGGTGCTGCTGCCAGTGTTGCACCCCTAGAGAGGTCCACCAGGTGCTGCTGCTGCCAGTGTTACACCCCTGGAGGGTCCACCAGGTGCTGCTGCCAGTGTTGCACCCCTGGAGAGGTCCACCAGGTGCTGCTGCCAGTGTTGCACCCCTGGAGGGTCCACCAGGTGCTGCTGCCAGTGTTGCACCCCTGGAGGGTCCACCAGGTGCTGCTGCTGCCAGTGTTGCACCCCTGGAGGGTCCACCAGGTGCTGCTGCCAGTGTTGCACCCCTGGAGGGCCCACCAGGTGCTGCTGCTGCCAGTGTTGCACCCCTGGAGGGTCCACCAGGTGCTGCTGCTGCCAGTGATGCACCCCTGGAGGGTCCACCAGGTGCTGCTGCCAGTGTTGCACCCCTGGAGTGTCCACCAGGTGCTGCTGCCAGTGTTGCACCCCTGAGGGTCCACCAGTGGTGCTGCTGCCAGTATTGCACCCCTGGAGGGTCCACCAGATCCTGTAGGGGGCAGGCAGGACACTGGCGGGTCCACCAGGTGCTGCTGCCAGTGTTGCACCACTGGAAGACTGCCACGTTGTGTGGGTGTGGTAACTAGGCAACGGTGTGGTAATTAAAAAGAACACAAACAAGAAGGCAGGCAGACATCACCCGTGGTGCTGCCGTCACTGACGCCTCTGGTCAACAGCTGCTGCCATCACTGACGCCTCTGGTCATCAGCTGCTGCCATCACTGACGCCTCTGGTCATCAGCTGCTGCCATCACTGACGCCTCTGGTCAACAGCTGCTGCCGTCACAGACGCCTCTGGTCAACAGCTGCTGCCATCACTGACGCCTCTGGTCAACAGCTGCTGCCGTCACTGACGCCTCTGGTCAGCAGCTGCTGCCATCACTGACGCCTCTGGTCAACAGCTGCTGCCATCACTGACGCCTCTGGTCAACAGCTGCTGCCATCACTGACGCCTCTGGTCAACAGCTGCTGCCATCACTGACGCCTCTGGTCATCAGCTGCTGCCATCACTGACGCCTCTGGTCAACAGCTGCTGCCATCACTGACGCCTCTGGTCAGCAGCTGCTGCCCTCACTGACGCCTCTGGTCAACAGCTGCTGCCGTCACTGACGCCTCTGGTCAACAGCTGCTGCCGTCACTGACGCCTCTGGTCAACAGCTGCTGCCATCACTGACGCCTCTGGTCATCAGCTGCTGCCATCACTGACGCCTCTGGTCATCAGCTGCTGCCATCACTGACGCCTCTGGTCATCAGCTGCTGCCATCACTGACGCCTCTGGTCATCAGCTGCTGCCATCACTGACGCCTCTGGTCAACAGCTGCTGCCATCACTGACGCCTCTGGTCAGCAGCTGCTGCCATCACTGACGCCTCTGGTCAACAGCTGCTGCCGTCACTGACGCCTCTGGTCAGCAGCTGCTGCCATCACTGACGCCTCTGGTCAGCAGCTGCTGCCATCACTGACGCCTCTGGTCAGCAGCTGCTGCCATCACTGACGCCTCTGGTCAACAGCTGCTGCCATCACTGACGCCTCTGGTCAACAGCTGCTGCCGTCACTGACGCCTCTGGTCAACAGCTGCTGCCATCACTGACGCCTCTGGTCAGCAGCTGCTGCCGTCACTGACGCCTCTGGTCAACAGCTGCTGCCGTCACTGACGCCTCTGGTCAACAGCTGCTGCCATCACTGACGCCTCTTGTCAACAGCTGCTGCCGTCACTGACGCCTCTGGTCAACAGCTGCTGCCGTCACTGACGCCTCTGGTCAGCAGCTGCTGCCATCACTGACGCCTCTGGTCAACAGCTGCTGCCGTCACTGACGCCTCTGGTCAACAGCTGCTGCCGTCACTGACGCCTCAGGTCAACAGCTGCTGCCATCACTGACGCCTCTGGTCATCAGCTGCTGCCGTCACTGACGCCTCTGGTCAACAGCTGCTGCCATCACTGACGCCTCTGGTCATCAGCTGCTGCCGTCACTGACGCCTCTGGTCAACAGCTGCTGCCGTCACTGACGCCTCTGGTCAAAAGCTGCTGCCATCACTGACGCCTCTGGTCATCAGCTGCTGCCATCACTGACGCCTCTGGTCAACAGCTGCTGCCGTCACTGACGCCTCTGGTCAACAGCTGCTGCCATCACTGACGCCTCTGGTCATCAGCTGCTGCCGTCACTGACGCCTCTGGTCAACAGCTGCTGCCATCACTGACGCCTCTGGTCATCAGCTGCTGCCGTCACTGACGCCTCTGGTCATCAGCTGCTGCCGTCACTGACGCCTCTGGTCAACAGCTGCTGCCATCACTGACGCCTCTGGTCAACAGCTGCTGCCGTCACTGACGCCTCTGGTCAACAGCTGCTGCCGTCACTGACGCCTCTGGTCAACAGCTGCTGCCATCACTGACGCCTCTGGTCAACAGCTGCTGCCGTCACTGACGCCTCTGGTCAACAGTTGCTGCCATCACTGACGCCTCTGGTCAACAGCTGCTGAAGGAACGCACCCGGCCACTTCTACAGGCGGGAACCTCAGCCCAGCACACACCCGCCGCTGAACTCGCGGGAAACTGTCCCTTTCACAATGTACTCTGGTGTTCTCTCAAACAACAACAACGCAAAAAATATGTATATATATAAAATAAAACTCAATAAAACGAAAACAACCAAAAACAAAAAGCTTCTATTTTCTGGAAGCAGTGACGCAACATCAACTAGCCTAATGTTGTCAAGATGGGCGTCCGCCAGCCGCCGCCACCACTGGCTCCCAGCACACTAACCAGTCCAGCCAACACACAACACATCCCACAAACAATCTCACACAGACCAAACAAACGACCCCACACCTCATGCCAGTCAACCTATGGTGGACATTCTACCCAACTTTTCCATCCCCCCCATCATTCCCAAACCCCATCCATCCTCTTCCTGAATTTCAACTCCTTATCCCATCCTGTTCCGAGCCTTTTGGACAGCAATCAGATATTCGTTCCCACTAAGTTTTGCTCGACTCTCTCATCAGTGTGTAGGAGAGTCTATTGTCTCTTATAAATCACACGAAGGCAACAGGAAAACCTTATAAACATTTAAAAAATCAAAGATATACTCAAACAAATTATACATCAGGACAATTCCTCCAATCAACCTCGGATATACCTTGAACAGTGTAAGCATAAGTGTAATTCTGTGTACATATATATGCTGCTGGCACATTATAAAGAACGTAAGACCTCACTTGTGGCATTCTCCCACACCTGCTACACTACAAGTCCCAAGTTGTGGCTGATGAAATATGTCGAGTTAACACACAACAACACATTACGTCCTCGGTGCAATACTGTTGATGAATGGACACGTCCAGACTAATAACCTCTATCTCGATCATCACTATGTTGACGAATCTCTCCTGCGAACCTCAGGCTGTCTCCTCCGAGCCTCAGGCTGTCTACTCCTAGCCTCAGGCTGTCTACTCCTAGCCTCGGGCTGTCTACTCCTAGCCTCAGGCTGTCTACTCCTAGCCTCAGGCTGTCTACTCCTAGCCTCAGGCTGTCTACTCCTAGCCTCAGGCTGTCTACTCCTAGCCTCAGGCTGTCTACTCCTAGCCTCAGACTGTCTACTCCTAGCCTCAGGCTGTCTACTCCTAGCCTCAGGCTGTCTACTCCTAGCCTCAGGCTGTCTACTCCTAGCCTCAGGCTGTCTACTCCTAGCCTCAGGCTGTCTACTCCTAGCCTCAGGCTGTCTACTCCTAGCCTCAGGCAGCCTCCACGTTAGTGTGGATGGCTTCAGTTGCGGTAATCACCATCGGAGCACAATAGAAAAACAAATAAATGACTCTTTTAGCTTTTAAAGTACAGCTGGAAAAGATCATCAACGCAAATGTGGGGGATCTTGAACAAGCCGCCGGCTTACTGTCCTCGTGGAGGTCACTAGAGTTAGTGGTCTTCATGTAAATTCATGACATATGTCACTTGCTGCACCGCCGCTGGCAGCGTCTGGCAACCCCCTCACCACCGCCTTACGGTTGCCAGATTGGGCTACAAGTAGCGAATTGGGCAACTTTTGAAAGCTCCGCGCTCTCCCAAATTTTTAATTTCGCTACTTGCGGCTTTTTGGGCTAGTTTAAAAGCAAGTTGGGCTACTTTGGGCTATTAATATTAAGAAACTCAATGATGATTATTTATGCTTTAATAATATAATGTGTGCAAATCACAGCCGTGTCAAACAGCCTGATTGACTAGACCACTTACCACAAGAGGCCTGGTCAGAGACCGGCCCCGGGGGACGTTGATCCTAGAAACCTTTGAAAGAAAAAGTAACCGTAAGGCAAGGTAATCCTCCCCAGGGGCCATAGATTTCCCAACCTTAATTGTCGTTAATACTTCATCCCAAAAGCTACAGCTGGTTCCACAGATCTTCATTACAGGGAGTAAGTTATCTAGAAATTTACAGATTGATAAATGATGGGAAAGATCTCTTACAGTTAATACCTTTGTCAGGAAGACGATGGTTGGCAAGGAGCGGTAGTGTAAAGCGGCCGTTAGATCAGTGGGGTTCTTTAACAACTCATTACCAAATAGCTTTTTCCTCTTGTGATAAATATGTTGCAAGGCAACTATTTTCATTGTACGCTGATCCCTCCAATAAGCTATATTTCACATGTCTCAGACCAATCCTAAATGATTTTGAAAGGATGACTTTACTTTATCAAAAAGATGAAGCAGATCAGTATAGCCTTCACACTGTCTTAGAAAACTTCACTCTTGGAATGCTCAGAAGAATCGTTCGTCCTCATCATGCAAAGCTTCATGTTAATTTGGACTACACTTCTATGTATCTGCCCCGGGAGAAAGTTGACTTCGGTTACGATTTATCAACACTTCGGGCCACTAACAGACAAAACAATTTTATAACTCAGGAAAAGTTTCAAAATATTCAAGAAAGATGTGATATTTTTTTAATGAAAGCTTGCAAATAGCTTCTTTCTCGTATTGTTAGTAATGTTGAAACTTTTAAAATAGGGGAAAAATCTGTTACCTATCATATGCCTTAGCCACACACGGCCACCATTTTCACAACTACCATTAGTATCAGCTTACCAATCTAAGCTTAGTGAAACTGAAAGTCAGTGGCGCCTACTGTTAACCATTGACTGGTCCAACATTTGTAAAGGACAAATTCCGACATCTGAATCGTCATTATAGACCAAGACAATAACTGTTAAGAACACTGCTGGCGATCCCATACTGATTGACCTCGCTGAGTTTGCATTGAAAATATACAGCTTGCCAATCAGTAATGCCCTGGTTGAACGGGTATTTTCGAGAGTAACATCTGTGAAAACTAAACTGAGAAATCGAATGGGACTTGAGCTTTTGACATCCTCCATTTCCTCCACATATTAATTCTTTCCTTACTACCTATATTAATTATGAAGGTAAATGTACAAATCACTGAATACTCCTCTTCAATGTGCATTGTAAAGTGCAACATTGCCGACCGACGCTAGTAGAAAATTCATCTTTTAATTGCTGGGCGCCGAAAAATATGCTGGCTCCTTGACCCTCTGGATGCAAGTGAGCTCCGTAGCCAATCACAGCTCACAACTCTTGTCACGTGACAGTCTCGCCTCGCTCCTATTGGCCAATGATGATATCATCTCTCCGTCTTCCGCTGGCACCATCTTTATTTTAATACTAGATGTTGCTTTATGTCTTAGGGAAAGCCTCAACCATCCAAGTGACTGGGCACCATTCCTTTTCCCCGTCCCATCCTAAATCCTTATCCTGACCCCTTCCCAGTGCTATATAGTCGTAATGGCTTGGCACTTCCTTAATACAAAATAAAATAAACTACCACATCCTACGGGCCTTCATGTCCAGGTCGACGGATTCCCGTAAATATCAGTAACAAATGAAGATCGAGTTCCACCCTAGTGGCTGTGTGAGGAGGGTGTCCGTGACGGCTGTGGGGGTGTTGTCCCGCGGGTGGGCGTGGTACGCCTGTTGAGGAGACATGGGGTCTTACCGGCCTCCATTAAAGAGGACCTCGTCGGCTGGTCTGGCTTTTACGGTGCCAGTGGACCACATGTTGGTTGGTGTTGCCCTGGTGGATGTTCTACATGTGCAGTTGTCGGAATTGGTGGGTATCCAGCTGCTGCAGGGAAACCACGCCGTGGTCAAGTTTGCCATCAGGCTGCATTTCAGGCGTTTCTGGTGCGGTGTGAGGGGCATGTTTACCCTCTCCCTGATGCCGCCAGTTCTGTTAAGGTAGTGAACCTCAGCGTCGCTGTTACGGCCCTATTGGGTCGCAACTGGGTTCTTCTCTGATGTTATTAGAGTTTGGGTATCCGGCCCCAAGCTATTAGTGGCTTTCAAGGGGTGCGTTCCATAACGCAAGTGAAATTAAAGGGGAAGAGATACAAATGCACTACTGGTATATATATATTGCTACCACCACCATAAATATATCACAGTCACACGCGGGGTTGCTATAACTACACTTATTATATACAAATTAGTCTTCCTCTGAAGACACAGAATGCTCCACGGTGCTCAAGATGAGTAGCCCTGGTTCTCTTCGTCGTGGCCCACGATGAATCCTCTGATTCTCTCGGCGAATCTACCCCGGCCACAGGCCAGCCAAATCACAGTCCCACTGGGTGCACCGTCGTGGAGGCCTTCAACCACAAATCCAGCCTGTAGCTGGCAGGTTCCGATCAGCTCCGCTGTGTAGGCCACTCCACGACTGATACTAGGGTTGCGAGCCCTAGGCAGGAGCCTCGTGTGATTCCACAGATCACTCTCCTCTCTAAACACCCCAGTGGCTAGTCTCTTCCACCAGCCAGCCCCCAGATAAGACGATTCCTGGTATTGCCACGTCACAGGCAGGCTAACACACTCAACAGTGTTCGTCCAGGGGTGACTCACAGCTTCTGCAGCAAACTCGTGGAGAGACTATGGCTTTCTTGGGTAAACTGCCCCATTGTCCAATACAGCAGTCCCAGGTCGACTCTGTAATCAGACACGTCATTAGTACTGGTTACACTCTAGGGCACCTCACTTACAGGCTTAGACACAAACGTCCACCTATCCACTCCATAGATGACGTTGCTGTCTAAGCGCCACCTTACCAGAGTTAAGCAGCGGCTATGTTATGAGCTGATCAAGACGGGAATCCAGCACCTGTGGCCAGTATATCCTGTCCTCACTAGATGGCGCTGTCCATTTGGAGGGAGTTTCGGGAGCAGACTGGCAGATGGCGTTATCATCACTGCTCCGTGCTACGATGCTGGACTCGGGTCCGTAACAGTCGCCTTGACGTATGTGTCGGTGCGTGGTGCCCCCTTCGAGTTTAACGACAATCTCCTAACTGCTGTGTTTGGACGGTTTGGTACTGTGCTAAGCATTCGTTGGGACAAGGTACTTGCAGGGCACTGTACTGGGATGCTTGACGGTTCCCGCACCCTGACCATGTCTCTAAAGAGTAGTGTTCCGTCCTCTGTGTCCGTGTTGGGTTACACGCTGCGCTGCCAGTATCATGGGCGATCGCGCACCTGTTACAGGTGTGGTAATGTGGGTCATCTCGCTGCAACGTGCGACGTGGGAGCAACTGGCAGGGTGCATGTTTTTCGTGAGGAGGACTTTCCACCCCTGTTGACTTCGAACGCTTCTGAGGATGGAGTGGGTGCTGTGCCTGAGGCGCCTGCTTGCTTGTCTGCTGCTCTGCCTGTTGAGGCGGATACTATGCCTTCTGCGTCCAGTCTGTTACCTGCTGTGGCCCCGGAGGTAGTTGTTGTGCCGGAGTGTACGAGTGTTGGGCCGTCGCCCGCACTGCGTGTGGTGGATGTCCCAGTTGATGTCCATGTCCCGCCCCCGTCTGTGGATGTGGTACCGGCTCCCGGGGGACGCCGGTCCTGTTGTTTTGGAGGGGGGGGGGTTCGGCAGGAGAAGGTGCCTGCCGTGTCTGTGTGTGTTGGCGGCAGTAGTTCTGCCCTTTCCATCCCTTTGCAGAAGTGTGCGCGTCGGTGTTGTGAGTCTGTTTCCCTGGGTGATGTGGACAGTGTGGGTGATGTGGCC